CATCTAGCCCTCTTCCCTCAGGCCAATACCATAATGTTGTTTGTGTCTGCTATCTTTTTGAATCATTGTCCCTTCATAGTTACGTATTATGTTCTCTGGCTCTTTTCAGGATTTTTTTAACTTTAGTTTTTAGAGTTTGATTGATAGTTTCAGCCTGGAATTTGGAGGCTTTATCCTGCTTGAGATTCAATTTACTTCTTGAATATATTGATTTGCATCTTTTATTAAATTTTTGAAATTTTTAAGTATTTTTAAGGTTTTTGTATCATATTTCTATAGTAGGGACAATAGGGAGAGAAGAGCAGAGAGCAGGGTCAAAGAAGACACAAAATGAGAAAAATGTGAAATGATCTTTAAAGAACTAGATGAGTAGAAAGTTATTCAGATGGAAAGGGTAATGGATCTTAAACAGAGAGAACAACTTGAGGAAAGGCAGGTACAAATATGTATTGTGTGTGTGTGGATGTGTGTTGTATAGGAAGAGATGAAAACAGGAAAGGAAAATCTGATTCAGTTAGCCACTTTGCCTTATTAGAGACTTGTGGCCCTGCACACACCTCAGCTGGCCATCCCAGCTACATAGCTCGCTACCCCCGCCCTCCTGCAGATCTGTTGTTATCTGTCACAACGTAATGACCATTTGCATATTACCTCTTTATTATATAGGATTGCTGTAAAATATTCCCACAAACACATGGTTAGAAATGGTTATAAACACATTAGTATGAATGGGCTGTACTAAGTAATCAGTCTTATATTTTGGGCAGAACTATTCTGCCATTGGATTCTTTTAGATTTTTAACTAAAATTAATTGCATTTGACATCTTTGTTTTTACTTGCTAGAACTTCCATATTAATGCAAAATGAACAAGTGGTTACCTCTTTTTACTTAAATTTGTGATATTTTCTCTTGACTTTTTAAATTAAACTTTTACTTTTGATATAATTATAGATTCACAAACAATTCAAAAGTAGTTTTAGATTCACATATAATGCAGATATACTATGTACTTTTTACCTAATTTCCCCCAATAGTAATATCTTGCAAAACTATAGCACAATATCACAACCAGAATATTAACATTGATATAGGCAAGATATAGGACAATGCCATCAACATAGGGCTCCCTATTTGCTTTTTATACACCCACCCTCCCCTAACCGCTAACAACCACTAATCTATTCTTCATTTTCATAATTTTGCCCTTTCAAGAATATTATTTAAATGGAATAATAAATATGTAACTTTTTTGAATTGGCTTTTTTTCACTTTCCACAATTTATTGGAGATTGATCTTTTTACAGCTATAATTCTGAGTAGAATTTCATGACTTCTTTTTCAGCTGTATTTTGCCATTATTTGAAAAAACAGGAGTTTTTCTCATCTGTATATTTGCTTTGAAATTTAGACTAAAGGCAAAACCTAGGAGCATCTTCGTTTTCCTTTCTAGATTGCATGTTAGTCATTCATAATGTATTAAGTCTTACAGGAGAGAAAATCTATGTACAAGTATAATACACTACTTTTCTTCTCTTATATTTCTTAAAATAGAAGAACAAAGCACATAAGGGAGAATGCTGCTTGAAAAATATTTAGATCAGCCTCTGTTCAGAATATCTTTGTGCTAGTCATGGATGGAACAGGAAAGAGCCTGTTCCTGGATAGCACTCAGCAGAGAAAAATATGTCCACATTACAGGCGAGCTTTAGGGTCTTTCTGTTTTCATTAGTCAACATGTTTTTAGTTGTTGAACCAAAATTCTAGCCCCCCAAATAAGGGAAAGAATGGAGACTTCCAGTTTTTAAATTGTGGTAAATAAGTCAGCGACCAGATTCTGAACTATATTAAATGCTCATCTAAGGAAGGATCCTAGATTACTATATTCTAAGGAGTAATAAAGAAATGAAAAAGTGAATAAATAATTGTATTGCAGACAGTGTTTAAATGACTGTAACTATAAGTTAAAAAAATAGTAATTTCCAAAATATTATTTTAACCCTTACTATCATTGTTAACTTCCACTTAACAGGCAACTCTGATGATTTTTATTTTTATTTAAGGAAAAATAGAGGGCATAGATATATAATAATTAATATATTACTATCATATAATTACCCAAAAGCATACTATTTATTATTTTCATTTTAGTAGATGCTTTGGAAAGAAGGAATAGAGTATTAGAGATTTTCAGACACTTAGCAAACTCTGGTACTTATCTAACAGTAATGGAAATACTTTACAAGCGATTTTTATATTGTCATTTTGCTTATGGCAAGTATAAAGTGAGAATTCTTCAGCATAAGTTAATATCATTATTATATACTTTCTATAGTGTTTATTTAATGCTGATCTAAAGAGGCTTGCACATGTTTTAACTTTTTTATAGTGATCATCTTTAAGTACTAATATGCCAAAGTGATGGGTTCGATCCCCAGTCAGGGCAATACAAGAATCAACCAATGAATGCGTAAATAATTGGAACAACAAATTGCTGTCTTCCCCCTCCCTCCCTCTCTCTCTAAAATTCAATAAAATGTTTTTTAAGTTAATGAATAAATCTGAATAAATCCACCTGATAATCCAAGGCACTTAAATAAATGCATGCTTTTATGTGAGCAAAGATTTTACTTGATTAGTGTTCTGTTTCTCCATTCAATTATCAAACTTAGGGAAAATCTAAATAAAGGTTTTTGACTGACATATTCAGTGGGATTTGATTGGGGAACTGATAACTGCATAATGTTTCAGTATGTCTTTATAAGTATTCTGATAATAATTATGATACTTTAAAAAAAAAAGCAGTTTGTAACTTCTTCATGTATTTCTTATCTATATATGTTCTTAATAAATCTTAATAAATAAAATGTATCTGAATATGTAAAGTATACTTTTTACTTGCCCAAATAATCCATATATTGACTCTCTGATCTTATTCTGTGTAAAAGACTAGAATCAGACTACTTGGTTTGTTTAGGTAGCACTAACCAAATAAACATAGATATAGGTGGCAGAGGAGGATAAAAGGCACCTAGAAATGTTTATCAGTACCCCTGTTATTATTTACAACTATTTGTCCGTAGTTAGAATAATGAATAGAATGGGGGTAGAGGGAAGTATAGTACCTTGCGTCTTAACTCTGGGCAGAATGAAATTTGGGCCCAACTTCTAGTTGTGTAGTACTCTAGTTAGACAAGCAATGGTATAGTAAAAAGAAGTTTTGCAGCCATTCAGACTTTCATTTAAATTCTACTTCTGTCATCTAAAACTTCATGTCCTTGGGAAAGTCTCCTTGAGACTCATTTTTTGTTTGTTTGTTTGTTTGTTTGTTTGTTTGTTTGTTTTTAAGTTATAAAATAGGTAGTTATGAAAGTTAAAGGAAATAAGTTTATAGAGAATCTGTGCAGTGCCTAGGACATAGAAATCTGTGCTTTGGGGAAGAAATGGTAAGTGGAGCCCCTCTCCTAAAAAAATATTAATATCCACCCTGACCAGTTTGGCTTAGTGGATAGAGCATCAGCTTATAGATTGAAGGATCTCAGGTTCAATTCTGATCAAGGGCACATATCTCAGTAGCAGGCTCAATTCACAGCCCCAGGTTTGGGTGTGTGTGGAGGCAAACAATTGCTATGTCTCTGGCACATCAGTGTTTCTCTCTCTGTCTCTCCCCCACTCTTCCACTCCCTCTAAAGAATCAATGTAAAAATATCCTGGGGTGAGAATTAACAACAATAAATAATACTAATACCCCGCTGTGCTTATAATTCTAATATATTTATAATTTCATAATTATATATAAATCTTCACCGATTTTGCTTTGCTAAATTTTTTGTGTGAGTTTGGTAAAACATCTGCTTAATTTTTTCTAATTTTTTCTATAAGCTTTACTTCCCCCTCCCCCAATTTTTCCCCAGATATTTCTTTTTTTTTTTGAGGAAATGACTTAATAATTTGAAATTTATTTTTTAATTTCCTCCCCCTTCATCTTCCCCTCCCCATTAGCAGCCCATCCCCAGACCTTCACTGCATTATTGTCTGTGTCCATGGGTTATGCATATATGCATATAAATTCTTTGGTTTATCTCCCCTGCCCTTCCCTCTGAGAATCATCAGTCTGTTGCATGCTTCCATGTCTCTTGATCTTTTTTTTTTTTTTTTTTTTTTGGTCAGTTTCTTTTGTTCATTAGATTTCAAATAAATGTGAGATTATGTGATGTTTATCTTTCTCTTACCAGCTTATTTTGCTTAGCATAATACCTCCTTCTGTCTGTCTCTCTATGCTATCTAAAATGTTAGAGGGATTATATTCCAAAATATACAATTCAACAAAAGAAAGACAAACAATCCAATGAAAAAATAGGCAGAGAATCTAAATATACACTTCTCCAAAGAGGAAATACAAATGAATTAAGAGACATGAAAAAATGCTCATTGTCACTAATAATCATCAGATAGATACAATTAAAACAAGTGAATTTTCTGGAATGGCTACCATCAATAAGTCAGCAAACAAGTGCTGGTGAGGATGTAGAGAAAAAGAAATCCTAGTACCCTGCTGGTGGATGGGTAGACTGCTTACAACCACTATGAAAAAGTGTGTAGTTTCCTCAAAAAATTAAAAATGGAACTGCCATTTGGCCAAGCATCCCACTTCTAGGAATATATCCTAAAAAGCCTGAAACACCAATCAAAGAAAATACACACCCCTATGTTCATAGCAGCATTATTTACAATAGCTGAGATCTAGAAATAGCCCGAGTGCCCATCAGTAGGTGAGTTGATAAAAACACTATGGTATACTTACACAATGAAACTATGCATCTGTAAGAAAGAAAAAAAAATCTCTTAAAAGCTTTACTTTTCAAGAACAAATTGCTATATTTATAAAAGGAAAAATCCAAATTTAAACATAATCTATGAATTTTCTTTTTAGATTCCTATAAGTTAAAGTGTTTGTGGCATGTTGGTGTATTTTAATCTTTTGCTCTTTGATTTCTGCAGGAAAGGAAGGACAAGAAATCCTGGGGCCTGGAGCTCAGGCAGATGAAGCAGGATGTACAGGTATTCCCTTGCTGGTTCCTTTCATACTATAATCTTTGAACAAGGTCTTTTGTGTCACTGGTTTTTGCATTTGTGAGTCCTGAATTTAGTCTTTTTCCTTCTCTTTTATCTTGCCCTCATTACATGTTTAAGTACCTAGGTATATAGGGCACCATATAAAAAGATAAAAGTTTGTATTCTTTAAATACAGTTGTCAACTTACAGATTCATAGAATAGAGCAGATTTTCTATATGAATGTCAAGTAATTTACAGATAATAAAAAATGTGTTTGAAAGATCATTTAAACTTCTGTCAGATTTTTTAACAAGGTTATAGAAATGCATATCTAACTATTCTGAGTTTCATTATTAGTTACCAGGATCTGCATTGAATTGACCATAAGCCAGAAACCAGAAGAAGACAAAATAAGCAAATATCATGGGTTAGCTGTAGACCAGATGATAATCATTACTATTGATGAGTTGAATGAACATGTCACAGCAAACAAGAGAATCACAAATTTTTCTTGTGATTTCTGTTAGTGAAAAAGGTCAAAATGAAGTTAAATTATATACTTCTAGCTGACTAAACGTACATACTCCCTGAGCCTTAAGGATATTCTTCTATAATAAATTCAAATCATATTTAAGTAGCAAAAGAGTACATAAATGTAAAATTTAAATCCAGATCCTATATATAATAATTCCAGGCACTTAAATTTTGTCATGTAAGTCAGCTAGAACTCTTAGAATGTAAATTTCAAAAATGAATTCCAAATTATTAAGTCATTTTTCTCAAAATAATATATTTAATAGTAGTATAATTATATTTTATATATTGAATCATAAATATTTCTGTCATCTGGTTTTAATTTTTCTTTCTTACTTTCCTTGATTTGATAGATATATATAGCTTTTTTTTCTTTGCAGTACATTTTAGAACTATTCCATATATATTTATAAATTATCCTTAATTATGGAAATGGGTATGTTTCATAGTAACGTGTTAAAACAGATTGCATTCTATATTATAAGCATTAGCACTCCCATATTTGTCAGTCAGTTCTATGAAACACATAGTAAATCTTGTGCTATTATTAAAGGTGCATTCCCAATTAAGTAATAATGAAATATTTGATAATTTATGGTTCCTGTAGCCTAAGAGCTGATAATCTGCCTTTAACTTGATTGTGTTTAACATGCATAAGTAAGGTATTTAAGTATGCTTGTTATCAAATATTTGTCATGCTAACTTATACATTATATTAACATATTTAGTTTGGATGTTTTTTATTAATAAAACTAGAGGCCCGGAACACGAAATTTGTATATGGAGGGACAGGGCGGGGTATGTGTCTCTCAGCCCAGCCTGCACCCTCTCCAATCTGGGACCCCTTGAGGGATGTCCAACTGTCCATTTAAGACATCCCTCTCACAATCCAGGACTGCGGGTTCTGAACTACTCACCTGCCAGCCTACCTGATTGCACCTAACCACTTCTGCCTGCCAGCCTGATCACTACCTAACCACTCTTCTGCCAGCCTGATCAACACCTAATTGCTCCCCTGCTGGCCTGATTGCCCCTAACTGCCTTCCCCTTCAGGCCTGGTCCCTGCAAAGTGCCCTCCCCTGCAGGCCTGGTCCCCCCACAACAGCCCTCCCCTACAGTCCTGGTCACCCCCAACTGCCCTCCCCTGTAGACCTGGTCACCCCTAACTGTCCTCCCCTAAAGGCCTGGTCCCTCCCAACTGCCCTTCCCTGCTGAACTGATAGCTCTCAACTGCCTCCCCTGCTGGCCATCTTGTGGTAGCCATCTTTGGCCACATGGGGTTGGCCATCTTGTGTGTTGGAGTGATGGTCATTTTGCATATTACCTCTTTATTATATAGGATAGTGTTAATGAATGCAAAAAAAACTGTTGTGTATTACTTTTTTACCTAATTTAACGTTAATGACTTATATTAGCAAAGTTACAGAAGATTTTGTCCTTTTAAGCAAAATACTATAAAAAAAAAAAAAAGACACTCAGAGTTGGAAGATTACAGAATTTTACAATTTGCTCTTCACTTCAAAAAGTGAATTCATTCTTTCAGTTTGAAGTACTGAGTATATAATTTCCCTCCCCCCCCCAAAAAAAAATATCACATTTGGAAGGTAGAGTAACCTTTCGTTGCTCCTGAAAGGTACAATCTTTCCCACCCACATGAAGATGATCCCTGCTACATCATTTCCCTACAATATAGAGAATTAGGAGTAAGCAAACATTTAATGAAGCCTCGATATGTACTGTTTTAAGGAAAGAAGGATGGAATTAGATGTTTGAGACATTTGAGCAGTTCAACATTAAAATTATGTGTTGCCTTTGCTTTTGCTACTTCCTTGACTTCTGGGGAATAATGTACTAACAAAGTAAATAAGAACATTGTAAGGAGGTTCCATCATTAGGTCAGACCTTTGTCAGATCCTTTCTCTAGTTGACTTCTTTTGAAATTCATGAAGTTAAGAGAACTATAGTTTCAGTTTAGTATTCAGAGAGTAAAAAGAGAGAAGGAAGATTAGAAGGGTAGTAGAGGGTAAAGTGGAAGATTTGACTTTCGGTAGCAATAAACACACAATGTACTATACAGCTGTTGTACCATAGAATTGTGCACTTGAAACTTATATAATTTTATTAACCAATATCACCCCAATAAAGTTAATTTAAAATAGAAGAGAAAAAATTCACTCAAAATATCCTTTGTCCCTGTTAAGCATCCCTTTTGTGTTTATATAGTTAACTAGAGGCCTGGTGCATGAAATTTGTGCATGGGTGGGGCCTTGTGTCCCTCAGCCCAGCCTGCACCCTCTCCAATCTGGGACTCTTTGAGGTATGTCCAACTGACCTAGTAGGATCAGGCCTAAATGGTCAGTCGGAAATCACTGTCACAATCCAGGACTGCTGGCTCCCAATTGCTTGCCTGTCTGCTTTCCTGGTGCCCCCAACCACTTCTGCCTGCCAGCCTGATCACCCCCTAACCACTCCCCTGCCAGCCTGATTGATGCCTAACTGCTCCCCTACCAGCCTGTTTGCCCCTAACTGCCCTCCCCTGCAGGCCTGATCATCTCTAGTGCCCTCCCCTACAGGCCTGGTCCCTCCCAACTTCTCTCCCCTGCAGACCTGGGTCCTCCCCTGCCCCCCACTCAACTGCCCTTTCCTGCAGGTCAGGTCGCCCACAACTTCCATCCTCTGCCAACTTGGTCACCCCTAAATGCCCTCCCCTGTAGGTTTGATTGCCCCCAACTGCCCTCCCTTACAGGCCTGGTCCCTCTCAACTGTCTTACCCTGCTGGCCTGATTGCCCACAACTACCCTCCCTTGCAGGCCTGGTCCCGCCCAACTGCCCTCCCCTGCTGGGCATCTTGTGGTGGCCATCTTGTGTCCACATGGGGGCAACCATCTTTGACTACATGGGGGCAGTCATCTTATATGTTGGAGTGATGGTCAATTTGCAAATTACCCTTTTATTAGATAGGATAGTTTCACAAAGTTTCAAAAATTGAAGGCAAAGATAAAACATCTAAAAATATTTTATTTTAGTGCTAATAAAATATCAATAGCTAAGTAAAACTTTTTATTTTTATGTTAAACATTTGTCTGTTATTGCTCTCACTAATTTATCATTATAATCCTATAATTCTACACTTTGGCAAATGATTCTAGAATTTCTCCTGAAATTCTATACTTTGACAGTCAGCTCCGAGCTTTGTTATATCTTTAAACAAATTATCATTATATGTTTCTGTGTATTTGCTCCTCTCTCTAGTGTTCAAGTACATGTTTATAGTCTTAAACCTAGGGATTTTTGCTTTATAATTGACAATGTGCATTTTCCAACACTTATAATTTTATGAGAAAAACTTCAGAATTTCTGGTTTCTGCTTGAAATTGACTTGGTAAATGCAGGTTCATAGAGACAGTGTAGTTTAGTTAGAAAGAACCCAGAATTTTAAATGATACCTGAAACCAAATTGCTTATTTTAATAGCAATATTTTTCTTTTTTTATGCATTTATTTTTTAAAATTAATTATTTATTTACTGTGTGATTTTGGAGCAGTTACCTAACTTTTCTGACCTTAACTGTTTTTTATAAGCAATATTTTTAATTGAGAAGTTACAATGTTCTCCTTTCAGGACTATTTTCAAGAAAATAGATAACAATTATATTGCACTTATATGCCTATTATTGTACTAAGCACATTCTATATAAATTAATTTAATCTTCAAAACAACCATAAGAATTACTGTTATTAGCTTCCAAGTTTTATATTATGTGAACTGTTATATCATAATGTTTACTGCCTTGAACTTGTATTTTCATTCTACATAGCATATAGAATTTGGTACCAACATAGTATATATTTCTTGTTTGAAGGTCTTTTTTTATTAACTTTCATTTTTACAAGAAAATGTATATATAAATTGAAATTTAAGTTTCTCTTTAATTTATTAACCAGAAGGCTCATAAGATTTTTTTAAAATTATAGATGGATTTCTGATACGATTATCAGTACCACACAGTACCACAACATAAATACATTACATATTTTAATAAGTAATTATTAAAGAAAATGTTACTGGAAATGAAGTTAAACAAAATGAAATATTCTTTGATTACTTCATATATCAATAGTTTACTGATACAGATTTCTAGAAAAAAAAAACAAGTTTGGCATTAATTCTATTTCTGTTTTTTGTTTAGCCCTGAGATAACATTATCCTCCTAAATAAAAAGATGAAATGTGTTTTTGTCATAACTGATTTACTCAATTCTTCACACATCTTGAGAATTATATGCAAATTTATAGTTACCTATCGATACAGATATTTCTAATATCTAAAATTCAGTCCCCTAACATGATAAAGGATTTGTTTCCCAGTCATTAGCATCATTCACACCTTCGTTTTCTGGGACATATACCAAAAAGTTTTACAAGTACTTATCAAAGGACTAATGATATCTGGTTTTGGATTTTGTTATTTTTTTTTCTCCTCATTTAGAGGAACCTAGTTTAATATATTCAGAAATGATTGGGGGAAATTTAAATATTGTTAACTTTAGTACCTTTTTCCAATACATTTTTATATTTTTTTATCTTACCACATGAATTAACTCTATTTTGATCAATACCTGATAACTAGAAACTTAGTTCATTCAATATCTGGAATTCTGTCAGAAAATAAAAGTGCCTTTTTATTTTTCTAATTCAAATAAATGTATCAATGCACATTATGAGGATGGACCTGAAGAGTATTATGCTAGGTGAAATAAGCCACTCAGAGAAAGATAGATACCATATGATTTCACTTATATGTGGAATCTAGAGAACAAAATTATCAAAATTGAAACAGACTCAAAGAAACAGATAACAGAGGAGAGAGATGTTCAGTGGCAGGGTAAAATAAGTGAAGGGATTAAGTCAAAACAAAACTCAGAAACAGACAACAGTATGGTAAATACCAGGGGAAATGGGGTTGGAGGCAGATAGAAGATGGTAAAGGGGGATAAATGGTGACAGAAGGAAACTTGACGTTGGATGGAGAACATATAATACAATATACAAATGATGTATTCCAAAATTATACCCTTGAAACCTATATAATTTTATTAATATCAATGTCACCCCAATAAATTTAATAGTTTTTAAATTTCTTTTATGATGAATATATAAATTAAAATAATGAGGAATGTATAAAGTATAAATAAATATATTTTAAATATAGATTATTCAAATAGTAAGGTAAAGATTATTTCTATCTAATCTAATTTTTATAAATTATAAAATATTTGTCTCTATCCTAGCTGGTTTGGTTCAGTGGATAGAGCATTAGCCTGCAGACTGAAGGGTCCTGGGTTCAATTCTGGTCAAGGTTACAAGCCCAGTTTGTGGGCTCAATTCCTAGTAGGGGGTATGCACAAAGCAGCAGATCAATGATTCTCTCTAGAGGTGATGAGAAGCTATGTTGTCAACTTGGTATTTTGACTCTTATTAGAACTCTTTTTACATATGGATAACTATAAAAACTATTTCCTAAGAAGTCATATAACTGAACTATACTTCAGAATGGTTTACACTGAGACTGTTTCAGTTTTAAGGCACAACTCTTGAGTAAAATGACACAGTAGTTTGCTAAGGTTTGAAAACTAAGGTTTTCTCTTGTCCTTTTTTCCTTGCTTTAACATTGACTGAAAAGCTAGAAATTCAGCCAACTGTATTAACTTTCTCCATATCTTGTTTATCAGTAAAATGGAATAGAAATACAATTCTGAAACTTAAAAAAATATTGTGAAAATGTCAAGACTTTTATAACACTTTAAATTTGCTTTAAAGATGATTTTTTAAATATGTTTTTATTAATTTTAGAGGGACAGGGATAGATAGAAACATTGATGGGAGAGAGGCATTAATTGGCTGCCTCCTGCACATACCTACTAGGTCTTGAGCTGTAACCCGGCCATGTGCCCTGACCAGGAATCGAAAGGTGTTAGGGGAGCTTTTTGGTTCATGCTCAACACTCAACCCCTGAGCCACACCAGCGAGGCTTAAAATTATTTCTTAATCAATTATAACAAATGACTGAATATTGTTTTTAATACTCAATAAATATTTTCTACAAATTTAAGAACAATCTTGTATTCTCTCAAGATAAACAATTCCTCATTTTGAAAAACTTGGTAACAACTTGGTGGTGAAATTGCTATTTATAAAGTATGCATTTATTTTAGTAAAAGATGATGAATGCGATTCAGATGCAGAAAATGAACAAAACCATGATCCTAATGTTGAAGAGTTCCTGCAACAACAAGATACTGCTGTCATTTACCCTGAGGCACCTGAAGAGGACCAGAGGCAGGGCACACCAGAAGCCAGTGGTCATGATGAAAATGGTAAATGGAGCTTCACAGTTGTTTTTGTTTTCATCTTTAAAGGATTACTTCTATTGTAGGAACCTACTGTAGGAACCTACCGTCCTACTATAGGAAACATTTTTCAAAGCCAAAATTTCATTGCAGGTGGCTAGAGATTAATCTCTTTAATTAATGGAACATTGTCCATGATATCAGTATAGTGTAATATTAGTGGCATCTAATATATTATATATAGTGGTAATGCCACTGCATATGAAATGCTTAGAACAGTGCCTGAACATTGGTTTCCATTCACTAACATGGCAGCAAGTAGTGGAAATGGAAACTAGGATGACCCACACTATCCATTGATTCTTTTCCACTATTCTTCTAGCAAGCAAAACATGGTTGTCTGCGTCAAAACATACTAATTTGGAGACAAATGGTTTTCCTCTATCTACTTTAGTCCATTCTGATATGAACAACCACTGTATAAAGAGTAATAAAATATAGTAAGAGAGTGTTTGTAATTTGAAAACAAATAAGCTGTCATTCATTCTAACATTCTTCTATGAACTGGAAACAGATGGAAATAACTTGCTAAGAAATTTATGTAAAATCTTTACCAAATACTAGGACATTACTTAGAATGTTTAAGAATATATTAAGTTGTAAGATCCTAATCTGATTTGATTTTTCCAGGTCTCACTTTAATGGATATATGTAGCTTAAAGTCAAATAACCAACTTATTTAAGGCTTTTTTTTTTTTTTTTAGAGCAGTTGTGTGTTTACAACCAAATTGAGACAGATACAGAGATATCCCATATAGCCCTTTCCCCCCACACATTCATAAGCCTTTCCCATTATCAGCATAACTCATCAGAATGGTACTTTTTTTTTTTTTTTTTTGCCAAGGATGAACCTACATTGACAAAACATAATCATTCCAAGTTCATAGTCTACCTTAGGGTTTACTCTTGATGTACATTCTATGGGTTTGGACAAATGCATAATGACATGTGTTTATCGTTATAATATCATACAGAGTAGTTTCACTGACCTAAAAATTCTTCTGTGTTCTGCCTATTCATTCATTTTCCCCCTTTCCCCTACCCCTGACAATCACTGATCTTTATGTTTCCATTGGAATCATATAGTATGTAGCTTTTTCAAATGGACTTTTTTCACTTAGAAATCTTAATTTAAGATTCCTCCATGTTGTTTTAGAGCTTGATAGTTCATTTATTTTGTATTGAATAATATCCCATTGTCTGGATACACCACAGATAATTAATCCATTCACCTTCTGAAGGACACCTTCCACATTTTGACAACTATGACTAAACTGCTCTAAACATCTATGTACAGATTTTGGTAGGGACATAAGTTGTCAGTTTCTTTTGGTAAATATTAAGAAACACAATTGCTGGATTTGTATGGTAAGAGTTTTATAAGAAACTGCCAAATTGCCTTCCAAAGTAGCTGTTTCAGTTTTCATTCCTAACAGCATTGAATGAGAGTTACTGTTGCTTCACGTTGTCACCAGTATTGGTGCTGTCAGTGTTCTGGATTTCGGTGTTCTATAGGTGTATAATGGTTTCTTGTGGTTTTAATTTGTGTTTCCTTGATGACATGATTTGGAGCATCTTTTCATACTTATCTGCCATCTATATCTTTTTTTGTAAGCCGTATGTTAAGACTTTGGCCTATTTTTTAGTTATCTGATTTTTTATTGAGTTTTAAGAGTTCTTTGTATATTTTGGATAATAATCTTTTAGTAGATGTGATTTTTGCAAAAGTTTTTCTCAGTCTGTGGCTTGTCTTCTAATTCTCTTGATAATATCTTTCTCAGATCAGAAGCATTTAATTTTAATGAAATGTAGCTTGTCAGTTACTTTTTGTATAAATTGTGCCTCTGTTGTTGTATCTAAACAGGCATCAACCATAACCAAGGTCATATAAGTTTTCTCCTCTTGTCTTCTAGGAGTCTTACAGTTTTACATTTTACAATTAGGTCTGTGATCCATTTTAAGTTCATTCTTGTGAATGGTGTAAAGGTCTATGTCTTAATTAATTTTATTTTTTGCATGAGAATGTTCAGTTCTATTACATTTGTTGACAAAATTGTTTTTGCTCTATTGTATTGCCTTTGCTCCTTTGTCAAAGATCAGTTGACTATATTTATGGAGATCTATTTCTGGTCTCTCTGTTCTATTTCATTGATCCACTTATCTATACCACATGTCTTGATTATTATAACTTTATAGTAAATATTAAAGTTGGGTAGTGTTAGTCCTCTGACTTTGTTCTTCTTCGGTATTGTGTTTTCTATTCTGGATCTGATAGCTCCCCATATAAACTTTAGAATGTTTATAAATATCCATAAAACAACCCTCTAGGATATATATTGGAATTGTATTGAATCAATAGATGAAGTTGGAAATAACTGACACCTTGGCTGTATTGAGTCTCCTTATTGATAAAGTTGGGATATCTCTTCATTTATTTAGTTCTTTGATTTTGTTCATCAGAGTGTTGCTGTTTTCCTCATATAAATTTCATACATATTTGTTAGTTTTATACCTAAGTATTTCAAATTTCTTGGTGCTAATGTAAATGGTATTGTATCAATCAACTTTAAAAATTTTGAAGGAAATTGAGAAAGATGGTATAAAAAACAAAATAGATTCTATTGCCAAGTCAACTGTACTTTCCTTAAATCAGGAATAAACTATAAAAAAAAAAAAGAGTGAGAGAGAACAAACAGAAGTTTTAATCTAGAGTAGATAGATTTTTTTGTAACTAAATCAATTACAAAGTAACTAGAAGTAGGGTAATTCAGAACTGTTTCTTCCAGTGTGCCAAAAGTTCACATTTATGAACACTATAGATTATTGCCCCTGGGAACACTGCATTTCATCTTAATGATGGTGTGCTGCTTATCAATATTTGTATATTTGGAGAGTCTGTAGTTATTAGCATTATAATCCTACTAGTGACCAAGTGCATGGATTCTGCACATTGAAAGGAAATTAATTGGAAGGTGGCCAGTGGGGCAGGACTGGGTGAGAAGGGCCGGATGCACCCTGGATCCAATCTCCCCAGCATCTGTAGAGTGAGCGGGATCCCTCCAGCAGATGGGGTCCCTCAGCTTAGCCTGTGGGGATCGAGCCAAAACTGGCTCTCCAGCATCCCCAAGAGGTCCAGGCGTGCAAGAGGACACTCTGCAAAGTTGCAGTCATACAGGGTGTGGAATGCAAATACAGTGTGCGGTAAACCAGATTCGGGGCCAACAGTGCCCCAGCAACACCATAACCCATGGCCAAAGGTGGAATTGTGCAGCCCCATGAGGAATCAGGCTCCCTCTCTCTGGTACCAGGTGTGTCACTCGAGAACCACAGCTGCCAAGTCACTGAAGCTGGGCAGTTTCTGCATTGAGTATCTGCCCCCTTGTTGTCAGTGCACATCATAGAGATCAGTCCAACAGTTGGACACTTAGCATATTAGCCATATATATACATACACACACACACACACACACACACACACACACACACACACACACACCCATGCTAGAGGCCAGGTGCATGAAAATACATGCTGTTGGGGAGTCCTTCAGCTCCCTGGGGTATCGGGCCTAAGCTGTCAGTCAGACATCCCTCCGGCAGCCTGAGAGCCCTCAGGGGATGTCCCCTTGCAGTAGGACAGCATTAGTGCTGACGAGGAGGCAGAAGAGGCTCTCCCACCACTGCCGCTGCGCTCGCAGCCATCAGCCTGGCTTGTGGCTGAGAGGATCTCCCCCTATGGGAGCGCACTGAGCACTAGGGGACAGCTCCTGCATTAAGTGTTTGCCCCCTGGTAGTCAGCACATGTGATAGCAACCAGTCATTCCTGGTTGTTCCACTTTAGGGTCAATTTGCATAGCATCCTTTTATTATATAAGACCAGAGGCCCAGTGCACGGATTCATGCACTGGTGGGGTCCCTCAGCCTGGCCTGCAGGGATTGGGTCAAAACCTGCTCTTTGACATCTCCTGAGGGGTCCCAGATTGTGAGAGGGTAGTTCTCGGGTGATACACCCCAGAATCGGGTTCCCTTCTTTCTAGTTCCAGGTGTGTCACCCAAGAACCACAGCTGCCAAGTCACTGCAGCTTGGCAGCTCCTGCATTGAGTATCTGCCCCCTGGTAGTCAGTGCACATCAAAGCTACTGGTCGGAGCATCTACCCCCTGGTGTTCATAGGGCATCATTGCTACTGGTTGGATGGTCGCTTAGGCTTTTATATATATATACTAAGGCCCTACTTTTCCACTTTGATTTCTCAGTTGTTTTTTCTCTTAAATAAAGTGTAACATTTCACCTATAGAAGCAGAACATTAAAATAAACATAAAAAGGAAATAGGAAAATTTTAAATCTATGTATAAAATATATATGTAACAAAATGGTACTCACAAATCTTTGGTGAAAGAAAACAATTAAAACTAAAGAAATCTTCCATTGCATAGATCAAATAAGGTTAAACCTTGTAAAGTTCAGTGTTACAAATCAACACAGTAAAATCCCATTAGAATTGAGGCCCTAACCATTCTGGTTTAGTACAACATGTTTTTAATTCATATATTCCTTACTTTAAGGAATGTATTTATGCCTAATTGACCATTCGACCAGTAGCCATGATGCTCACTGACCACCAGTAGGAAGACGCTCATAGCACAGGCATGGAAACATGGAACAGACTAATGAATCTCAGAAGGAAGGGGGTAGGGGGAAAGAGATTAACCAAAGATCTTATATGCATACTAGAGGCCTGGTGCACAGATTTGTGCAGCAGTGGGGTCCCTTGGCCTGTCCTGCAGGGACTGGGCCAAAACCAACAGTCAAATGTCCCCCAAGGGGTCCTGGATTGAGAGTGGGTGCAGCCCAAGCCTAGGAATCCCACCGGTGCACAAATCCATGCACCAGGCCTCTAGTACAGTATAATATATGCTAGAGGCCTGATGCATGAAATTCATGCACAGGGAGGTTGTCCCTCAACCTGG